ACACAAGAACTCACCTGAGGACACTGACACAAGCGCTCACCTGAGAACCCTGACACAAGAACTCACCTGAGGACCCTGACACAAGCACTCAGCTGAGGACCCTGACACAAGCGCTCACCTGAGGACCCTGACACAAGCACTCACCTGAGGACCCTGACACAAGCACTCACCTGAGGACCCTGACACAAGCACTCACCTGAAGACATTGACACAAGTGATCACCTGAGGACCCTGACACAAGCACTCACCTGAGGACACTGACACAAGCGATCACCTGAGGACCCTGACACAAGCGCTCACCTGAGGACCCTGACACAAGTGATCACCTCAGGACCCTGACACAAGTGATCACCTGAGGACCCTGGCACAAGTGATCACCTGAGGACTCTGACACAAGTGATCACCTGAGGACCCTGACACAAGCACTCACCTGAGGACCCTGACACAAGCGATCACCTGAGGACCCTGACACAAGCACTCACCTGGGGACCCTGACACAAGCACTCACCTGAGGACCCTGACACAAGTACTCACCTGCGGACCCTGACACAAGCACTCACCTGAGGACATTGACACAAGTGATCACCTGAGGACCCTGACACAAGCACTCACCTGAGGACACTGACACAAGCGCTCACCTGAGGACCCTGACACAAGCGCTCACCTGATGACCCTGACACAAGCACTCACCTGAGGACCCTGACACAAGCACTCACCTGAGGACCCTGACACAAGGGATCACCTGAGGACCCTGGCACAAGTGATCACCTGAGGACTCTGACACAAGTGATCACCTGAGGACCCTGGCACAAGCACTCACCTGAGGACCCTGACACAAGCGCTCACCTGAGGACCCTGACACAAGCGCTCACCTGAGAACCCTGACACAAGTGATCACCTGAGGACCCTGACACAAGCACTCACCTGAGGACCCTGGCACAAGCACTCACCTCAGGACCCTGACACAAGCACTCACCTGAGGACCCTGACACAAGTGATCACCTGAGGACCCTGACACAAGCGCTCACCTGAGAACCCTGACACAAGCACTCACCTGAGAACCCTGACACAAGCGCTCACCTGAGGACCCTGACACAAGCGCTCACCTGATGACCCTGACACAAGGGATCACCTGAGGACCCTGGCACAAGTGATCACCTGAGGACTCTGACACAAGTGATCACCTGAGGACCCTGACACAAGCACTCACCTGAGGACCCTGACACAAGCACTCACCTGGCAACCCTGACACAAGCACTCACCTGAGAATCCTGACACAAGCGCTCACCTGATGACCCTGACACAAGGGATCACCTGAGGACCCTGACACAAGCACTCACCTGAGGACCCTGACACAAGCACTCACCTGAGGACCCTGACACAAGCACTCACCTGAGGACCCTGACACAAGCACTCACCTGCGGACCCTGACACAAGCACTCACCTGGGGACCCTGACACAAGCACTCACCTGGGGACCCTGACACAAGCACTCACCTGGGGACCCTGGCACACTCACCTGGGGACCCTGACACAAGCACTCACCTGGGGACCCTGGCACGCGCACTCCTGGCCGCCACTCACGCAGGTCCGGGTCCGGGTCAGACACGCGCACTCACGCGGGCCCGGGTCAGACACTCGCACTCACGCGGGTCCGGGTCCGGTCCGGGGCCCGGGCAGCGCACTCACGCGGGTCTGGTCGGGGCCCCGGGCTGCGCACTCACGCGGGCCCGGGTCTGGTCGGGGCCCCGGGCAGCGCACTCACCCGTTTCTGGGCCCCGGGCTGCGCACTCACGCGGGTCCGAGTCCGGTCGGGGCCCCGGGCTGCGCACTCACGCGGGTCCGGTCGGGGCCCCGGGCTGCGCACTCACGCGGGCCCGGGTCTGGTCGGGGCCCCGGGCTGCGCACTCACGCGGGTCTAGGTCCGGTCGGGGCCCCGGTCTGCGCACTCACGCGGGTCCGTGCCCGGGTCCGGTCGGGGCCCGGGCTGCGCACTCAAGCGGGTCCGGTCGGGGCCCAGGGCTGCGCACTCACGCGGGTCCGGGCCCGGGCTGCGCACTCACGCGGGTCCGGTCGGGGCCCCGGGCTGCGCACTCACGCGGGTCCGGTCGGGGCCCCGGGCTGCGCACTCACCCGTGTCCGGGCCCGGGCTGCGCACTCACGCGGGTCCGGGTCCGGTCGGGGCCCCGGGCTGCGCACTCACGCGGGTCCGGGTCCGGGTCGGGGCCCCGGGCTGCGCACTCACCCGTGTCCGGGCCCGGGCTGCGCACTCACCTCGGGAACCGCTGCCGCAGCCTGCGCAGGCTCTGCCGGGTGGGCGGCACGGACACCAGGCCCCGCGCGATCTCCTCGTACTGGGCTTTGGTCAGTATCATGGTGGCCTGGGGCGGGGCGCGGCCCCCGCGACGGGACCCGGAGGTGCGGGGAGGGCTGACAGCGGCCGGGCCGCGGCCCCGCGCGCCCCTCAGCTCGACCTTTGCCCCCGAGCGCCCCAGCTGCGCGGGCGGGACGCTGACGCGCGAGCGGCTCCGCGGCGGGGCGGGCTTCGGCCCCCGTGCCCTCACTGGGCGTTCTACGCAGCCGCAGTGTGGCCGGCTGAAGCCGGCCGCCGCCATGTTGAGTAAGGGCAAGCCAACCCGGAAGTGGCGGCGGCACGCGGGGCTGCTCGCCCCGGGGGTCTCGGGGCCGCCGCGTCCCCGACGAGGCCCAGCCCGGGACAGGTCACAGGTGAGCCGGGGCCGCCCCCGCCCAGCGCGGGCCTCCGGGGCCGCCCGGCACCGACGGCGGCGCGGCCGCGCCCCCGCACGCCGGAGCGCGGGATTTGAATGCCTGCCGCGTGGGCCGCCCCGCCCCCAGCCGGCCCGGAACCTTCTAGGCGCCCGGGACGCTTGGAGGGACTAAGGGCCGCCTGGTTTCTGCGGCAGCCCCTGCTTTCATGCCCTGGCTGCGACTGGGCCGGGTCGGGTGAAAGCCGGCCCCGCCGGCCGGAGCGTTAGCGCCTCGGGCCTGGGGCCTCCTCCGGGCCTCCTCCAGGCCTCCTCCGGGCCTCCTCCGGGCCTCCTCCGGGCCTGGGGCCTCCTCCAGGCCTCCTCCGGGCCTCCTCCGGGCCTGGGGCCTCCTCCGGGCCTCCTCCGGGCCTGGGGCCTCCTCCGGGCCTCCTCCGGGCCTCCTCCAGGCCTGGGGCCTCCTCCGGGCCTCCTCCGGGCCTCCTCCGGGCCTGGGGCCTCCTCCGGGCCTCCTCCGGGCCTGGGGCCTCCTCCGGGCCTCCTCCAGGCCTGGGGCCTCCTCCGGGCCTCCTCCGGGCCTCCTCCAGGCCTCGGGCCTCCTCCGGGCCTCCTCCAGGCCTCGGGCCTCCTCCGGGCCTCCGGCCTCCTCCAGGCCTCGGGCCTCCTCCGCGCCTCGGGCCTCCTCCGCGCCTCTGCCTCGGATCGGACCCCTGGGGCGGGGCCTGAGGCTGGGGAAAAGCGGGACCCCTGGGGGACGATCGCCGACCCTGCGTCCTGCTGCAGCCACGTGTCCTCCCCCCCCCCCCATGGGAGAGAATAACTGGAGGTCTGGAAAGGTCAAGGGGACCCCGGGTCATGCCCAGGGAGAGCTCTGGCCTTGCCAGCCTCGGTCATTCCTCCAGGTAATCACACTCTCCTAAGCCAAAGGGCAAGGATCCCTTTTTTTTTTTTAATACACAGTGCATTTCCAAGAATGTTTCAGCTGTGTGTGTGTGCGTGTGCGCGCTAGCCTGTGTGACACCATTTCATCTGCTGAAGGCATCTCAAAGTCCAGCCTCAGAAGTAGATCCTAAATTCAGCAACCAGAAAAAAATGTCCCTTCCCCACCCCCCACCCCCGAATATTTACATCAGAATGTTTTCTTGACATATGCTTTCTGTCTAGCCCTGGTTGTGTGACATTCGTACATAACTATTTATTTATGGCAGCACAGCCTGGAGTTGCCACCTGGCTCGTTTGCCGCTGACCCTGCCGTGACTTTCACATGAAAGCCAGCTGACGATAAGCAGACACCAGTTGATTCTCCCCATTCCTCTCCCCTTCACAGCCTCGCTCTGCAGTTCACAGCCATCAGACTTTTATAGAAAACATCAGTTCAAGGACGCTTGTACTCATTATTTTTATAGCAACTCTTCTCTCTGGCTCTTGTCCTGCGTTTATCCTCGGAACCCCTAAGGAAAATGCCAAGTTTGTTTTTCTGTTTTTATTTTTAACATAGTGGCAGTTTACAGTTTTGACCCAAATCCTGTAGATTGTTTAGAGCTGGGGCTGAGAGGAAAGCAAAGTGATGCTGTCTTTTCATTGGCCCTCACAATAGTTTTGTTTATTAAGCACCCACAGAAACAGCACAAATGTTTTGTCATTACTTAATTGGTTTCTTTTACTTACAATTTGAAATGGATGGGGTTGGGGGATTTGCCTCTAAGGCCTTGTCCCTCCCTCTCCTCCACCCTGCCCCCATTTCTCACCAGGGACACCTGGGTTCCCCAGTCTGCTCTTCTTCTAGCACTTCCTTCCATGTGTCCACAGACTAAAAAGCCAAAGCACCAGTGACTCCCTGTTCAACATCAATCAGCCAAGGAATGCGTGGCCTGGAACAACCCACAGCCGCTCTGATCCTGAGTGTCCTCAGTGGGACCCTCGCCAGTGGAAAAGGAATGCTCTGAAAGGGAGAGAAAGATCCCCAAATGCAGTATGAAATCACACCATGAAAATGTGCCAGAACCTACAGACTTGAGAGGTGGACCAGATCTGTCTGAAGGGTGCAAATATCGAACAACTTTAAGGTAGTTAGAGTTTTGAAGGGAGTCATTGGAAGGTACTTTAATCACTGTATTGACACAATGGGCTAAAAGAATAAGAATAACCCCAGTCCCATGCCTAGAAAAATTCCTATTGGAGCAGAGTTGCAGGCAAAATGAAAAGGGAGGAAAGAATCGCTCAGTTTTCAGCCCCTAAGCCGAATGCATGTGTTTGTTTTTAATACATTACTTTGTTTTGCTGCCAGCCCTAGGACTTTGAACTTCAGGGTCTGGGTGCTGTCCCTGGGCTTTTGTGCATAGGGCTAGCACACTACCACTTGAGCCAGATCTCTGCTTTTGGTTCAAACATGTCCCTGTCATGGTGGCTAATTGGAGCTAAGAGTCTCATCTGCCCAAGGTGGCTTTTAATCACAATCCTTAGATCTCGGCCACAGGAGTAGCTAGGATTACAGGTGTGTGTCACCAGTGCCTGGCACATTTTTTATAACATCAATCTACTCGTGGAGTCTCTGTTAAAGTTATTATATTGACTATGTTAAAAAAAACCTGAACTGGCATCTACTTACTGAATAAAGAAAAAGAAGTGTCCTAATATTTGAGCACCTATTGTGTATAAGTATTACCCTATTAAATTCTTTATCTCATTTAATCTTCATAATTACTCTGTAATAGATCTTACAGCCCCTGCTTTATAGATTAAGAAACTAAGTCTCAAAGATAGGAAGGATTTGCTTGTAATATCTAGTAACTAATTTGCAAAACCATGATTTGAACTAAAGTTAATCGGATTCTAAAGCCTAGTGTTCTCCCTACGGCAGTGTACATCAAAAACAATTTGAACTCTCTTTGGCTGAGTTCCTGTCAACTAAGCGTGTCTTTTCTGAAATAGCCAGCATCCTGCTTCAGCCACCAGGATACCCACTGGAGGACCACTGAACTTCCATTTGGATGTGTAGCCAAAACAGACTTTTAAAAGATTGGCCACTTTCACTGAAGAATTTATGCTTTTCTCTTTACGCTCTGAGATACCACCCATGTTCATTACTTTTATCATCTGTGTGACCAAAATAACTAAGGACAGTTTGGAAGGAAAGATGTATTTTCACTCACAGCTTCAGAAGACTCAGCGCATGGTCACTTGGCTCTGCTGCTCCTGGGCTCATGGTGAGGTGGAACCTCCTGGTGGGGGAAGCAGTGTGGAAGGGAGCTGCTCACCTCACGCCCACAGGCTAGCACTCAGACCCTGCTCTCCAGGGATCCATCCCAGCGGCCTCTGCCCTCCAGCCAGGCCTTAGCACTCAATGGTCCTGCACCTCCTGCAGTCCCTACAAGCTGGAGACCAAGAATTCATCACATGAGCTCTTCAAACCATAGCACCATCTTTGACAAACAGATCCCACTTCTCTATATTTGCCATCCTTGAGCAATAAGCCGTTTTCACCTTGGTCCCAAAATCATACAATCTCCTAGGAATAAAAGATAAGAATAATTCAGTTGTGGAGGTCTACGACTATTGTCCGATTTAATGAGGAAAACAAAACATAGAAGTCTAGTTTTCACCATCAAGGTGGAGCCACAGCACCAGGAAGGTCAGAGTAGCGCAAAACCCAAATGCTCATCCCATTATGCAAGTCAGTGGTAAGTGATTGTTCCCGAATATGACAAATGCCAGGGGTGCTCAAGCCACTACAAGCCACTACAAGCAGACATTGTCCCACAGACCCCTATTTCAGAATACACCATCTCAAACCTTTGTTACTCAGTAGTACTAAAAGCTGACATTCTGTGGACACTCAGCAAAGGCATGAACCATGCTGGTCACTTTCCTTCATCTAGCCGCCCTTCATCCTCAACTCCAGCCCTACTGGTTAAGTTTGCTCATTAAATCTGTTCTCCATGTAAGATAACCAAGGCATATGGAGGTGCCTTCAGCTTACTTCACCAATTATTTTGCAACATTCTAGAGAATAGCATTTCTCAAATTCTCTGTGTGGTGGACCCAGTTTTCCCTCAGTTTGTTATGGACAAATTATAAAAATAAAAAGTACTCAAAAAATAAAAGTCAAAAAGAAAAGACATAAAATTTGTCGTTGAGATTCAGTAGAATTATTGTGTCATATTAAGATAAATGCTTAGCCTCAGTTTCCCAGTGTCTATACATGTCACAAATGTTTGAAGATCTTGCGGGCTTGAGGACCATATTTTGAGTAGTACTGTACCTTAAAAAGTTAATATTATAAGCTGGGTATATTCAAAGGCAGATGGCTAATGCCAAAGCCTAAGACGTCACTCTTTTGATGTACTCTTACATAGAAAAATTGTCTAACCAGTTGCTTACAGATTTCTAAGTATCAGCCATCACTAGTATTACCATTATTCTATTCTATGTAGTTCTCAAGTAATGCGTCCATTATTAAGGTCAGCAGTGCAGATCCTTACAGACAATTTGTACCATATGAAATTAATACCATGTGTTTTTATTGAATGAAACATAAGTTTCCTTTAGATGATAAATCTATTGATCAGAGCATATATTCCTCTTTTGAACTATCTGATCAAGTCTAATGATAATGCTAATAATTGGCATTTACACATTATCACCACATTTGACAAAGATAAGGAATGAAAGGTGTATTTTCACAGGGACAATTTCTCCAGGGTGTTTATATGATACATCAGAGGAATGTTTGTTGAATAAAGACTGAAACCTCTTAAATTTTCTCCTCATCAGGGACTTGTGGATAATTTGCAAGCAATTTGTATCCCCCTTTGCCACAGGACTAAACCTCAGATGTAATTTCTGCAGTTGTCAATCACTTTTCTTGTCCCAAAGACCATTCTGCAAGAATCATGTTCTGAGGGTTTTCTCACGTGTTTAAATCCAGGAATTGAAAGCGATGCTGGAGGAACAGAGGGCTTCTGTTAGGAGTGGGAGAGAGGGTGAAAGGCAGGGAATCACGTCTGTCTGTAATAAGCACTTCTTCCAGTACACACTAGAATTGGAAGTGCATGTCAGGTGGAGATTAGTTCTAAGACTCTTCATTTTTAAAATTACCCTTTTTTGCTATCCCATTTGGTTAGACTTACAGAAGAGCAGGTAAGATGTCAGTCGAGATTTATAACTCTCCTTCCCCATGATTGATGGAAAGGTAACGAAAAGAGTTATCTCCAAGGCAAGTGTAGCAGTTAGAATATTCTTTTAAGAAAATGAAAGTATATTACATAGTTACCTAATGCATCCGCATTGTGGACTTGTAACTGGCATTATTGTATCTACTGGAAATATGGGGAAACTAACGTGGAAATTCACTTGTATCTTCAGGCAGTTTCTCTATACCTTTTATTTTAGAGGTGAGTCTATATAAACACGCCTCTTATTTTTTACTTAAATTCTTTCTAATGCTCACTAATATGCATTCTTATAGTCAATAATGAAAGCTCAGATACTCTAAGTCATCCACAGTCCCTCACTTGAAGGCCCCCATAGTAATTACATTGACTTTCCTGCCATCCAACTTTTTATACAGTTTTACTCACGTAAGGCCTGGATTGTATACCTAACTTGAGTCCGGTTTCCCTTAATTTCGATTACACTATGAGCAAGATATCCTTGTCCATGCCTGCTCATTTTGGCCCTGGTTTATAGGAAGAACAGAGTAATAGGTTTCTGAGGTCAGGAAATGGATCCTCACAAGCCAGCACTTAAAGGAGATCCTTGACATGCCTGACAGCAGCGCCGGCTCTCCTTGGGCTCCGTTAGCCAGCTGCGCTGCAGTGTGGGAAGGAGGAACCCCGGCCCTCTGGAGCAGGCTGGGGCTTTCCCTGGCTGCTGGACAGCCTGCCTGGGCATCCTGTTCATAGAACCAGGACTGAAGTCGGGTCATGAGGCAAGTCTCCCACCACAAGGACAGCCTGGCAGTCACATGCTGACAGACCAGCCACCAGCCACCTTGTGTTGGTGTTTTTTAGCCTGTTTTCTGGTTATACGTAGACTTCCAAGATTCATGACAGCCCTGACACGGGGGGTAAATGTTTAGCGTTGGCCAGAGGAAAGTCTCACGGAAGGCCAGCCCTCGTGCCAGAGAACCTGGATCTCCATTTCACATCCAGGCGCGCTGGAAGGCTTACGTTGATGGAGGGATGAGAAGGGATTTACCGTAACAGCACAGGGCAGAGAGCACCCGAAGCGAGCGCTTCCAGAACACTTAAGCCCCACACATATTTGCACACAGGCACAGGCACTCACAGATCTAGACTTACAAAACAACACTCAGATTATAGACAGGAATACTTAAAATGCCCAAGACCAATGTCACTCACGCCTAGTGTGAACACCACCCTCATTCACACTCTCACCACTTAGGGGGGGAGCCCGTGAACGAGGTAGTGCTCTGGGCCGCGCTCAGGACCAGCCAAGCCCTCGCCCTCGAAGTGCACGTTCTTCAATACATCAGGTGTATTGTTTACAATGGCTACTTCTTGTTGTAGTTTAAAACAGGCTAGAGATATGCCAACAAGATGCATTATTTGGCCCTCTCCTGAGTCCTATTCTTCAGAAGGAAACGACAGGGTATTATTGGGCAAACTGACTAAACAGGAATTCAGATGACAGATTTGCTTATTTCATTGTTTCACATATACATTAGGTAACATCATCTTCCTACCACTAGGAAATATGCGCTGAAGGACGGTGATAGATATGCAGATTACCCTATTGGAAGAAAAATTAAAAATAAGGACAAAAAGCGTGGCATATCAACAAAGATTGATCTAGATATAGAACGTGTATTTTTGTACTCTTTTAACACTGTACTATTTTTATTTCGTAACATTTGGTAAATTCAAAATTATTTCCAAATGAAAAGTTTAAAATAAATCCATTTTACTTTGTAAAATGAGCAAAAACATAATATCCTCAAATCATTTCATAAACTTCCCTAAGTCCTATCTGATTTATGAACGTTTGATTGACCTGCTAATTCAAGAGTGCAAGATGGTACACTGAGGTAAATGGTACACTGAGGTAAAACTTCCAGAACGTCTCCCTCCCCTGACATGAGCCAGATACACTTATGTCTCCTCCATATCTACAGGCGATATATTGAAGTATAATTATACCATTCGCTGTACAATTTTAATTCACTTTCTCTAATAAGTACCCTCAGATCCCAGCTAGATGATAGAAATGGAAAATGCCAGAAGATTATCCCTTTAAATACAACCCTCTCTTTCGTGTGTGTGTGTATACTGGTATTAAGGCCTGAAATCAGGGCCTTGGTCCTGTTCCTTAGC